GTAAACATATTCCTAGTATTCTGTTTTCATTCAAGATTCAGCTGATGCCTGCAATGATATGTCTTGTTCTACGACCTCCTCTAAACCAAGCTTGAATTTCTGGCACCTCCCTGTGTGTGCACGGCTACAACTGTTTCGAATTTACTTGTGACCTTAAGGATACAGTTTGATAATTTCTCTTTTCTGTTGGGTCACCTGACTTTGGAATGGGTACAGTACGGTTCTCTTCAAGTCAAGTGGCCAGTCGTCCAGATTTCTAAGCAGAGGTGAGTGAGTGGTCCCAGTGCTTCACCGGTGTATTGAAACATTTTCTTTGGAATGTTGTCAATTCCTAAAGCCTTGGTTTTCACTACTCCTTCTCAGTACGTACCATCAGTTCCTGATCATACAAGGGGGAACCCCAAAAGCCAGATACTGAGCTTCTCCGTTGTCTCCTCACACAGATGTAATACATTTAATTTGTGGAGATGCCCATGTATTTGCAAGACAGAAGTCATTGGTCTTGCAAAATTCGATCATGTGATCTCCAGGTTCGTTTCTCTCACCAAGGCCATATTTTCCAACTACTGCTCCTTCTTTTGGTGTCCAAGTTTTGCATACAAATCACCAATAATTATCAATCCAAATCACCAAAAGTTATCTCATTTGCATGTTTGATCAATTTCAGATAGTGGTTGGTAGAATTCTCCAGTTTCTTCTTCACTAGCTTTAGTAATTGGTGTGTAAATTTGAGTAATAGTTGTATTGACTGGATTTCCTTGTATGTGTGTAGATATTATCCCATCATAGACAGCACTGTACTTCAAGACAGAGCTCAAAAAGTCCTTTGTGATGATGAATGTGATGCCGTTTCTCTCCTATGTGTCACTGCTAGTATAGTAAACCATGTAATTATCTGATTCAAAATAGCCAACACCAGTGTATTTCAGCCTGATATATCGATTTTATGTTTTCCACTTCATTTGTAAGGTCTTCCAGTTTTCCTAGATTCATGCTTCATATATTTCAAGTTCCAATGATTTGTAGCACTTTCTTCTCATTTTGAGTTGTGTCCCATCGGTGAATGAAGGTTCTGAAAACTTTACTCCATATCCATGTCATTTTGGTCAACTCGATTTTCAGAAAGCAGCTCTTCCTCAGTAACATTTTGAGTGCTTTCCAACTGGAGGGGCTCATCTTCAGCACTCGCTGACAATGTCCTGCTGATGTTGACTCGTTTTTCTGAGGCTAGCTCCGCAGACGTGGACAGCCTACTCCTTCTATGAAGCCCATTAGTTTGGAAGCTCTACAGAAACCTGCTACGCTTGTGTCATGACCTGCTGGTATCTGAAATACCGGTGCTGTAGCTTCCTACATCAAAGCAATAGGCAAGCCACCAAAGTACAACAGACTGCCAGGTACGTATGTAGTGAACTTTTTCATAGAACAGTTTTTTTTTTAACTTGAAAAAACAATAGAAACAACTTTATTCTCAACAATAGATGAATGGATAAACAAATCGTGGTACATATGTTCTATGAAATATTCTTCAACCATAAAAATAAATGAAGAGGTGATATATGAGAAGGGTAGAGAAACCAAAACAAAGTAAAAGAAGTTAAACACAAAGGTCCTATTTTATATGAGGGGCTTCAAAAGTTTAGTGGAACAAATGGAACAAAGTCAAAGTAGTTATTCCCAAACGTTTTAAAGCCCTCCCATATGACCCCATTTATATGAAATAATCAGAATATATAAATCCAGTTAGTTGCCAGTAGCTAATGATTAATGGAAGCAGCATTCAAGAAGTCAGGCAAAGTATTGCATTGAGCAAATCTTCTGCAGAAGATCTCTTTTTAAAGCCAGGATGTCAATTTGAAGATAAGGTACACTTTACTCTATCTAAGGCATTTTCAATCACCTTAAAAGAGTGAGAATGAGTGGGGGCCCACTGTCCATCTGTTTCCTTAATACTGAACCTATGGATATATGTACATAGATCTATTTCACTCTCGGTGTATATAAATATATTTACATCTGTAAATGCCTGTATTTAGATGTCTATAACTGCCCTTTGCCTCCTAGTTCTTTCCTCTATTTCTCTGTACTTTCCGCTTGTCCCACTATCATGTTCAGCCTTCATTTGGGTTTCAGGAATTCCTCTCGGTTACATTGCCCTTGATCCAGCCCTGCCAGACCTCCAACACCCTCCTTGCCACTAATTTTGGATCACTTGTTGTTCCTTTGTCCCTGGGTTTGTTAACACCCACTTCCTTTACCCTGCCTCCCCCTCTCCCGTGTCCCCCTAGAACTGTCATCCCGTTGTTCTCTCTTCCAGCTTGTTTATCCCACCTATTCCTTCCAGGTAGACATGCAGCGATAATAATATGCACCATCACAAGACTGAGTACAATAAAGCAACAATAGAAAATAAAACAATAGCTACAACAACAACAAAAAGAATGAGAATGCTGGACAGTGAATTAGGATGACTAAAGAATTGATGCTTTTGATTAATGATGTTGCAAAGAACATTAAATATACCATGGACTACCTACCAGAAGAACAAACTAATCTGTACTGGAAGAACTACAGCCAGAATGATCCTTAGAAGGAAGAGTGGTGAGACTTAATCGTGCACACTGCAGACAATATCATCAAGCAGGACTACTCCCTGAAGATGGACAACATGCTGGGTAAAGTAGAAAGTCAGTGGAAAAGCCAAGACCCTAAGCATGATGGACTGACACAGTAGCTTAAAGAAATGGCTGCGCGGATGGCACGGCACCGAGGAGTATTTCATTCTGGTGTGTAGTCACTATGACTCAGAACCAACTCAATGTCATGTAACAACAGCAGAGCTTCCTGAGCTAAATCTGTTAAACTTTCTACTGACTTTGAGTATTTGCTGGGGGGAGAGGGGTGTTAATAGGTTATCTGGGCATGTTACAGAAAGGATAATTTTTAGCCTCTTCTGGGACTGCCATTAAAAAATGGAACCTTAGAGACAAAGCATTTAGAAGCTGTTACTCCTGGCTGAAGCTGCTATAGTAAAAAAACAAGCTTACCAGCCAAAAGTGATACCCTCAAACTGAAAAAGGTTCAAGGGAAAACCCTAGCAAACAGAGCAAATAAGCACTTCCACAATTACTACTGACCTCATACGGAATAAAGAGAAGGACTCCACAAAGTTATCTAACAAGGACGTCTACCAAACCCCAAACTATCAGGACCATCAATGAAAGAACTGGGACAAACCTGGGAACTGTGGCTCAGGAAATACATGGGCTATCGGAAATAGGGAAGGACACAAACACAGAGGAGGCACAGACTGACAAGTGGGATATACTAATGATAAAACATGTGTACATTGAAAGAATTCACTAAGAGAGCCCACGTACTAGGAAAACATTGTTAGCAATGACACATCAGACAAAGGCCTTATTACTAAAATCTACTAGCTAGCTCTGCTAGCTTCCAAAAAGGAAAAAACTGCCCACTGAGGACTCAAATGTCAGAGGGTATTGGAGATGGAATAGCTGCCTATGCAAGACCTTTGGAATCTCTTGCTCAGATAGTACTAGACAGTAGACTAGCTCTTTTCCTTCTAGCCCAGGAAAGAGGAATATATTCTATTGTTTTAAACCTTCTCCTGAGCTAGGATACATACTGTATCTTCATTTTACACTGCCCAATTCAAGTTGCTATTCCTCAATAATAAAGTCTTTCCTCTTACTCAAAATAGAGTATGAGGTATTCTTCTCTGAAAAGTTTTAAAAATCATTTTATTGGGGCTCATACAACTCTTATCACAATCCATACATACGTCAATTGTGTAAAGCACAAGGAAAAAAATGAGTAAAATCCACTTGATATTAACCAAAAAGAATGTCAAAGATTTGTAAGTAGAAAGTTTTTGTCTTGAAAATACTCATGGAATCTTTACACAGAGATATTTATAGTCAGTCGGCCTCACAGACTCAGTACTTAACCTTCCCACCCCCTAAATCTCAATCCCACTTCACCCTACACAAGCACATGAGGCATGTTATGAGAAATCACTGACTTAGATCACTAGTTCCCAAATCTAGCTGTGCCAAAATCAAAATGAACTGTCAATGTTTTAATAGTAGAATATTTGGTTATATATCATATCAAGGTAAATAAGAATCTCTCTTAAACAGAGTCTAAAATGTAATACTACTTTAAAAGTCTCCAAATGATTTAAGAGGCCACCTTGGAAACCCAATGCTACTGCGCATGTACATTGTTCACATCCCTAGATCCACTTATTAAATGGTCTTAAAATACCATAAAAACCCTTTTAAAATCTACAACAAAGGAACAAAATGTCACGGGTCCTCTGTGTTTTAGATACGGAAAAGGTGAAGACTGAAGCCAAAGGAGATAAATTAATATCCAATGAAACTTGAAAATTATTCAATGTATAGCAACATAGCAATTTTTCAGTTTTCAAAGTCCTATTAAAACCTACTTAATATTGCTTTATTGCTAACAATGAATCCTTTTCCCAACTCAACACTTGCATGTTTTTATAAAAGCAGCTATCTATCATTTACTCAAAAAGAAATTTGGAAATATCTAGTTTGTTATGATCAAGTTTTTATATATAATATTGGAGAGTGGAAAGGAGAAGGAAGAATGAGCCATAATCCCTGGATTAATCCAGCTCTGTCAGAAGAGAATGAAATTGATTCTACAAATTCCCCAGGATGCTGCACTCTACCTGTGTCAACACACAGTAAATGTGTCTATGAAACGGAAATATTTTTAAAAAAAGCTTAAATGTGGGAAATCAATAATGGCAACACAAACCTAAAGTAACTTGACAGAACCAGCACAGAACTGTGGTACAGGTTAGCGAAATCCCAGACTTATGAGAATGTGTACGGTAGAAAAATAAAACTCATGTGCAAAGTCAAAATGAAAAGATCAGGCATAGCTTTATTCTCCATGTAGGCTTGCAGTCTAAATAAGAAATGAAACTGAAAGATACTTACTATAGTAACCATACAGTACAGTGTCCTCAATCTGTCTGCTGACATTAGCATTAGCCCAGTCCTAGAATGAAAAAGAGTAGAAATATTGAAACATCCACTTGCTTAGCAATTACAAGCATGTTTTTATAGGTAATGCCGTGTATACTGGAGTATAAGCCGACCCGAATATCAGCTGAGGCACCTAATTTTACCACAAACACTGCATTAAAAATGTGCTGAAAATCTTGGCTTATACTTGTGTATATACAGTATGTATAATCAAGTAAAACAAGTTATAGTCCGTGACTTCAAGAAGTGAGAGCCAGATAAATAAATGGACTATTTTCTATAGTTAAGTACTGAAATAAGAAGATGCATGGTTCTGGGCCACACAGAAGCAAGATGCACCAACTTACAATGAACATCAGGGCTGGCTTCCCAAACACTAAACTGAGACTTGACGGAAAAGGAAAGAACACAGCAGGAAGGCGGGCAGAGTGGAAACAGGGATACAGGGTCTGAAAAACTGCAAGTGGCTATATCGAGATTCCATTGACTTTTTATAAAGGTAAGAGGAAGCAGGTGGAGTGAAGGAGGACAGAGGACTAAAGACAAATGTCTGAGGGATTTATGAGTCACCTAAACTCCTGACCAAACAACAGGGTAGTTGTATTAAATTTTCTAGAGAGAGACAGAATAGAAGACTAGAGAAAAGAAAAGCTAGAGATAATCTAAATGTCCACAGGCAACATGGTAAAAAAATAAAAACAAAAAAAACCTAACCCAACAACAACCCCAAAACTCCACATAATGATATATGCAAAACATGGAATGAAACAGGTATGTCTGATCTGGCACCATGAAGTACTTTTAAGTGGACAAAATACAAATTGTAAAACAAACCAATTAATATAAGGAACAACCATCTATACATGCATAGGAAAATATAAATAAATAAGTGCATACCATGCTCAATGGGAAAGAGCTAGTTCCAGGGGATAATGTGATGTATGGAAATTTTTCATCAATAATTGAAGTATTCAAATGAGATATGCATCACACTTTATCTTCTATTCACTTGTTTCTTTAGTTAACTGCTTATGTATTGATACAAAAGTTTAAGAAAAACTTAAGATGATCAAATTAAGAACCATGATATCCATTGGAGATTCTTGTTTACATTACAAAAATTCCTTCCATTTCTAAGAAAATGCAAGAAATTATCTCCAGAGAATCAATTACATGTTAAGGTTTAAAACTGGACAAGAGCTCAACATCAGACAAAAATTAATGGTTGAAAATCTAGAAGTAACTGAGTGCTTAACAAAGCACTGAAATGTAACATATCTTGTTCCTCAAGGTTCTTTTGTTTACTCAAACTTAAGCGACAATAAATGTACTATTGTTACTATTTTAAACCCACAAATATGTGTAAAATATACACACTCACTCAAGTACTATTAGCGTATTTGCTTTTTATACACTGTCTTGCAGCCAAGGTATTTGATGTACTGTCAAGAAAACTTAGTTTATGAAACCGTTCCTCTACATTCTGAGATTTGCTCTGTTCTTGATATGTTTTATAAACAATTGTTTCCTAAAGTAGAAACCAAAAGGAAATTCAGTTATTTAAGACCAAAGGAAAGTCAGATGATCAAGAATATTAAAAAGGCTATTATAGACTATTACAGAAGAAAAACGATGTGAATTTCACAGAAGGAAGATAGTTGTCAGGCGGCTCCTAAGCAAATTCCCTTTCCTAATTTTGAAGATGACCTTTTGAAACTGTTATGGATTGAACTGTTCCCAAAAATATTTGCTATAAATTCTCATCTGTAAGTCTTTGGTTATCATCCTATTTGAAGTAGGTTTTCTTTGTTATGCTAATAAGACAGCATACCTATAATAAGATATAAGTAGGGCAGAGTGTGCCTTAAAGCAGTCTCTGTTGAGATGTAAAAGAGAGGATAAGCAAGGAGGAAATGCACAGATGCAGGAAGAACACACTAAGCCCCATGGTAAGTCACCCAGGAGCAGAAATTCAAAGTAACAAGGACCTTCCCTCCAGAGCTGACAGAAACTTTCTCTACAGCAGTAGTTCTCAACCTTCTAATGCCACGACCCTTTAATACAGTTCCTTCTAATGCCACCACTTTAATACAGTGGTGACCCCCCCAACCATAACATTATTTTTGTTGCTACTTCATAACTGTAGTTTTGATACTCTTATGAATCCTAATGTAAATACCTGACATTCAGGATGTATTTCCATTGTTACAGATTGAACATAACTAAAGCACAGTGACTAATCACAAAAACATTATGTAATTATAATTCATGAAGTGTTGTTTTACCTCCAATACTGCTGCTTTCAACACAGTAGCTGCTTTTGAGTAGCTGCTTTCAACACAGCAGCTTCTTTCTACACAGTAGCTGCTCTCCACATAGGTATCTACTCTCTACACAGCATCTACATGTGACTGGTCTACTTAAGTACATTATGGCGCCAACCCTGTCACATACACCTGTATTTGTACGGGTGTATGTGATGGGGTTGGCATGATGATGTCATCACACGGGGTACTGGTATGTGGGCGTACCTGCATATGGGCGAACCCGCCTGGAGAGGGATGGAGGAGCCTTGTCTCGGTTACTAAGACCATCGGAGATATGTGTTTTGCAATGGTCTTAGGCAACCTGTGAAAGGGTCTTTAGACGCCCAAAGGGGTCACGACCCACAGATTGAGGACTGCTGCTCTACAGCCATCACCCTGAATCAAAAATCTAGCCTCCTATACTGTGAAGTTCAAAGCTACCACAGAGAAAGATGTGGCAGTACTCTACCTTTAAATGTGTCAACTTTTAAACCCTGTGAGACAGATCTACTCTGTGCTCTAGGCTTGCTCTACGTAAGAGCTGACTAAAAAGCAGTGCTCTTTTTTTTAAGCTTCTTTTTTGCTTTTATTAGTTGCTTCTGGTTCTCTAACGTAGGTAACAGTCTCAGCCTCTATGTGGCATTTCCATTCCCATTTATTCCCAGAGCCAAAAATACACATTTAATTGGCAAGAATTTAAAATGAAAATATTATTGTATGATTATAATTACCTTAAATGTGCCATTTTGACTTTTCATGTAAGAAACCAAAAAAATATCCACTGGTAGAAGTGCTGACGTGATCAGTGCAATTGCCAGGGAGAAAACTGCGGTCATGGTGGAGACAACCTCACTTTCCCGCCGACTCTGGTATTTCCGAACATAAATCCAGCAGAACGCCAAAATAGCCTGAAGAGGACAAAGAGACATGTTTTGTCACTAGCCCGTGAACTTCCTAAAACAGATGCTACTCTTTGTGTTAAGTTTCCAATAAGCAGTTCAGTTTATTTGTATGTGTGTCCTAAGTTTTTCTAGACATGTAATGGAAGCCCACTCCCTACCTTTATAATCTAGTTCAGAATTAGAATTTTCAAGGGCGATTTTTCAAAATGTAAGAGTAGACACTTTCACACAACAAGGGAAAAGTTCTTAACAATGTTCCATTGTATGTGCGTCAAACATAGTACAACCATTAATGGCTTCATAGAACATCAAAGTTTAGCTAGCTGTAAATACTTGTTACATGGAGATCTCTACAGCCCAAAGGAGATACACCCAAGGGCATCAGACATTCATGGGAAAATGGAAATAAATGATAAAGAAACCTTATGAACTCTGTGTAGCCTCCTACCATAATACTGAAGCACCACAGAATAAAATTTGGATGAAAATTAGCTTCTGCCCTATTAGGGCAGTTAAGAGTAACATTCAGCTAAAGATTAACTACAATACTTATCATGCAGTCAACAAATTATACTTTAATTCAAATTTGAAGGCCATTAATCCAAGAAAAACGAACACTGAAAATGGCTATGCGTGCAAGGCAAAGGGCTTTCCCATGAAGCAAGTACACAGGTACTGACTAGGCCTCTCCCTTCAAGCAGGTACTCAGTAGGTACCAGAGCCTCTGCAGTGACGAGCTCAGGGGACAGAACTTTATTCTGGTCATTCGCAAACTTGAGTGGGGGTAAGAGTCACCCAAAGGTCTTTTAATAAGAGATTGCCCCCAGATTTTCTGATTCAAGAGGGATGGGATACGGCCTTACCAGTACCTGACACAAAGCAGTCAGTATTTTTTATTGTTGAACTGCAACAATGGAAGAAGACCTGCAATTTGATGGGCGTTATAGCAAAGCAGCTTACGGGAAAGCAGACAAGTAATGTACACTAAACAGAACAGGCAAGCTGGAGTTTCTCAAACATTTTGGTTTCAGTTCCCCTTTATAGTTTTAAAGCTGAAATCCCCCCAAAAGTTTTTTTTGTTTTTGTGGGGTTTATCTATCATTAGTTACTGTGTTAAAAAATAATTCAGTGTTCTTGTGTATAAAACGAATAAAAATCCTTCTCTCAGATTATAAGGATTAAATGAGATGTAAAGCATTTTGCACAGTGCCTGAACACTTTATGAAAAAGTAGGGACTGTTAGGTGTCCTATGATAACATCTTGGACAATTTTATAAAACAAACTACGAGCTGGCCCCAACTTCCTAAAGCATCCTGATTTAATTGGTTTGCGCCTTGGGTTTTTTAAATACTCCCTAGGTAATTTTAATGAGCAGTCAAGGTTTACACAACTAGAGTTGAAGTAGGAACGAGAATAAATGACTTTATTAAACCAGTAAGCCTGGAATCTTATTAAACTACACATACTGATTCAGTAGGGCCAGAGTCTTTTATTTTGTGTTTGTAACTAAACGTGCTTTATTGAAAGTGAGATTGTCTGGTAGACAGTGAATATGAAAAGCAATAAGAAAGGCGGTGTGAGTCAAACTGAAGATCCTGACAGGCAGGTAGCATAGTCTGGATTTAATTTGGTAAACAAATTAGATTACAGGTTTAGAGCGATCCCTTCTAGGCATTCCTTATGTGGTACAAAGGCATTCCTTATTCTTTCGTGAAAACGGGCAGGAGTGTGGAGGCCAGCAAACACCTGGCTGTCCCTGGAATTTGCAAATTGAAGATCATTTTCATAAAACGACCAAGACCGCATTTGCCTTGTTACAACGGTTGCATTTCCTTCACAGAAGCCATGGTGTGAAAGTGCTGGTGCCTCAGCACTCATCTAGAACACCACTGAGTTGATTTGGGCTCATGGCGATCCTGTGTGTGTCAGAGGAGACGTGTGCCACACAGGACTCCCATGGCTCATTTTTCACAAGTAGATGGCCAGGCTTTTCTTCCAAAGTACCTCTGTACTCAGACCTTCAGCAATGGAAGGAGTTTAGCATTTGTACCACCTTGTGACTCCTTACTGATCCATTGGCCCTCCTACGGCCATGTTTCATGTCATTTGTATCCTCCTACAACTTACAGGGGATGGAGCCCTGGTGGTGTGTGGGCTATGTGTTGCACTGCTAACTGCAAGGTCTGCAGCTAGAAACCCCTAGCCACTAGTCACTCCTTGGGAGAAAGTTGACACAACCCCACAGGAACAGTTCTTTTGTGTCCCTTAAGCTCATCGACTCGGTGGCTGTTGAGTATACAATTTACAGCACAACTGCTGGACCTTAGATGCTGATTTAGTGTCTAAGGCATTTTCATTTGACTTTAATACTGGTTACTTGCTCTTTGTGTTTACATCCACCCCAGTGGAGTCTGATAGGCTATCAACACGACCAAAGTCTCCCAAGCGTGGAACTGTGTGGTTCTAGAGATCACAGCCAAGTGTTTCCATTTCCCCCTGAGAGTATGGCATGTTCCAACGTAAGCCAGCACTACTTTCTGAGAAAATTTAAAAGTTCAAAAAGGTTTTCATTCTTAAATTTTTACCACATTAACTTTCCTCTTTCCTTCGTAGAATCTCTGCTGCAAAAAAATGATAATAAACAAAGGTGTCAGGAGCCTTAGTGGAATCTGGTAAGCAAAGCAGGATCTGGAGGAACCTGTCTTAAGTTACAAAGTTAAAGTGGTTTGTTTGCTTTTTGTAATGGAAGAAGGGAAAATACACTCTGGGAAGTCACAATAGGTCTGGGCGAGGACAGTGAAGAGAGTGAGTGCGGAGGGCTACAGAGAAAAAAAACTGAACTTCCAAAATAAACCCAAGGATTTTACTGAGATAAAGTCATCGCCAGGCCACTTTGACCCATTAGTTACAGGCCACATTTTGTGGTTGCTTTGTTTCATTCATCATGAAAAGGCGAGAGTAAAAAGGTCAATGCGATTGAGATATTACATTATCTTCTGGTATATATCCTTATACTGGCAGTGAGCAGCTAATCCCTACACAGGTTCCTAAATCTATCTTACAGGTTGGCAGGGAGTTGAACTCTGGAAGGCAGAACAAGCAACTCACGTCATGGGGCCGAGTCACACAAAGGGCAGAGAAGGCTGGAGACTTAGCCCAGGGATAAGAAATACCACGAAGCTACTTTTAGAGGAGCTGAGACCCCCTGCTAGATCAACAGCAGCTCCTGTGAAACTAACTCGTCCCACACTGGGTACCCAGGTTAAAAGGCGGGACCCGAGTGGCGGCCACACCCTCTCACCCCAGGGTCTCCTCTCGGTCCCCAATTCCCACCGCCATCAGTGCTCAGGTCAGGCACGAGGGCCAGCGTGCCGATAAAAGAAGTCTGCAACATTAGACGGCATCAGGGAAAGGAAACTAAAGGTGGCCGCAACCCAGTGGCCTAGCGTCTCCCTCCCAGGGCCGCCCACCCCTCCGGGCACCAGAGCCCCCACAGTCCCAGATGGGCGCGGGGCGGGGCGGGCGAGGAGGGTCTCTGGCCTGGAGAGCCCAGCGGCCGAACTGGCCCCTCCCGCCCTCCCACCAGCCCAACATGGACAGACTCCAAGCGCCTCCCCTACCAGTAATAAGAGCCCGAATATGCACCAGCCGATCACCAGCTCCACCGAAGCAGCGCCAGCGGCCGCCGCCATCTTCACTTCCGGCCTGGCCGGCCTCGAGCAAGGGGTGGGGACAGGGGAGGGGGAAAAGGGAGGGAGTTCGAGGGACTGGGCACCCGCGCACCCTAAAGGTTAAAGGGGCGGGGAGGGCGGAGCATGTGGTTGCCAAGGAGACCCTGTCCACGAGCGGCCCCTGGCGACGGCGGAGCAAGACGGGGGGCGGGGCTTGCCGGGAAGGCTGGGGGTGGAGCGCGGCGAGCGTCAGGACGCCGTGACGTCACCGCGCAGCCTGTTCCGTGTCAGCCATGAGACAAATGTGCGTAACCAGAAAGTTATCTGTACGACGGCAGGGAAAGTTTTTTTGTTGTAAATACTCGGTTTCCTATAAACTGGAGAGAAACAGAAGGGCTTGAGTGTTACTCACAAGGTGGAGCAACCGCTTCCCTAAGAATTGCACTCATGAAAACTGCAGAGCGGTTCGAGTTCGGCTTCGCCCTGCTGGGTTGCTTTGAGTAGGTTTGTGGTGGTGTGGCTTTTGTAAACTCATCACCTGAAACAGCCAGGAAGTCAAGGTTTCACTTCCTCATAGAGAGTGGATTTCCAGAAGGACTCTATTCGGAACCTAAAAAGGTATTCAAATATGTCGGTAATTTTGAAAGAATAATAGTTTCCTTGAATTTCCACCGTAATTTTTTTCCTTCCTGCCCTGATACTCAAAAGCCAGAAAATTGATTGTTACTGTAACTGAATTTTCAGCCCTGCCATGACTTCGGGCATGTCTCCGTGTCTCCCACCCACATTTTCAGGCCCTCGGGTTTTCTGGGAAGTAACGTCACAGCTGATGCCGTCAGTGTACGGCCGGCCTTCAGCCATGTTACCATGTACCTCATGGAACCTGTATGGCTGTGAACGTGAAGCCTCAGTGCGCCAATCTTACCAGCAGATGCACTTGGGACATATGTGTCCCCTATAATTCGATCTGTATTACTTAAAAAGCTTTTCCCCCTTGATTTCAGCATTCTTCATAATCTTCCATTACTGAAAACACATGGTGTCAACCAAAAATTCAAAGCAATTGACCTTGAAAGAATTAAGCTTTGAGAGGTAAAAAACTGTTTATTGCCTCACAATCTGAAACGTAGAAACTAACCCAGGTAACTCTTATACTATTCTTTTAATATATGTAAGTGATAAGCATATTTTATCTTATAGAAATGAGGAAAGCAAATCAGATAAACTATTTGGACTCATTTAACTAGAAACTGATCAAAACTAAATCCAGGGTTTTTTGTTTTTGTGTTCTCAGCCCTGATAAACTTCCTCTTCAATTATTCACTCTCATTCTCCGACACTTTTCACACAATTGTAAAGACATATACAATTCAACTACTTGACACTTTAACAATGTCCATCTAACAGTACACTGCAGAGGTATGAGATGAGAGTAGCTGATAGTTAAGGTAATATGTCAATTTTACTGGGCCATTATACTCACTGGCTTGGCAATTATGTAATAATACATTCTCATATAAAAATTTCAAACAAATAGAATCTGAAAGGTCCTCATAAATTCAAATAATCCATTCTCCTTGCCCTAAAAGATTTCCCTTTGTGATCTGAAAGATGTTTTTGGTATGTCTATATTAACTTGTACACTGAGAATATGAACAGTTATAGATACATCTTACCTGCTTCCTGGAGTTACTGGAGGTAACCTCACTGGAAATGTTCACTTACCTATGTCAAGAAATTTAGAAGACAGATACTTGCCGAACCGACTGGATGATATCTACATTTCTCCATTCCATTCCAAATAAGAGTTATCCTACAGAGTACAGAAATTATTATCACATGCAAATAAAAATTTGCTGAAAATACTCCAAAAATATCCATAGCAGCACATCAAGAGGGAGCAGTCAGAAATTTAAACAGGATTCAAAATAAGATGTGGAACAAGGGATATCATTGCAGATACCAGATCTTAACTGAAAATAGAGAATACCAAAGATGTTTACCTATGTTTAGTAGAAAACAGAATCATATCAAGTTATGGATAACTTTGTGCAGATTGGGAATTCCAAAGCATTTCATTGTATTCAGGTGAAAGCTGTTCATAAACCAAGAGGCAATTTTAGTAGAATATAATAGGGGATACTTGTAAGCCATCTAAAATGATTAATAACATAAAATAGACCACTGAGATTCCCTCTGCTCCTAGAAATAAGGATGGAGCATGACATTCTATAGTATTTTTAATTGCCTCATGTGCATGCAAAAGCAGGACAGTGAATTAGAATGATTGAAGAAGTGTTGATGGTTTTGAATTACAGTATTAGCAAAGAATATCAAATATGGGCTGCTAGAAGAGCAAAGTGTTGGAAGAAGTACACCCAGGATGCCCCTTAAGAAGTGCGGGCGGCAACACTTGGGCTAACATACTTTAGAGGGACTAGTACCTGGAGAAGGAGATCACGCTTGGTAAAGTATAAGGTCATGACCTCCAATGAGATTGATTGACACAGCAGCTGCAACTGTTTGCACAAACAGCAATGGTTGTGAATATTGCAGGAAGAAGTAGTGTTTCATTCAGTTGTGCATAAGGTTGCTATGAGTCAGAAGCAGCTCAAAGGCATCTAACAACAACAACAACAGCCTCCACCTAACAATTTACCTGACTAGAATTACTGTGTACTCTCATTTTTTAAAAATCATTTCATTGGGAGCCCTTACAGATATCATAACATTCCGTAGTTCAATCACATCAAGCAGTAGTATACGATTGCTACCACAGTTAGTTTCACACATGTCCTTTCTTCTTGAACTCCTTGATATCAACTCCCCTTCAGCTGATTCATTTTAAGTTAAAAAAAAAAAAATCTGTGAGGAGTTAAATAAGAGGAGGCAGTCTACAAAATTTCATCACAATGCCTTGACTCAATGCCATCAAATATATTCTTTGGCTTTATGCAGAGGACTCAGTGTCTGCCATGGAGTCAATTCCAAGTCACCCTACCCTGTTTGTAAGGTAGTGATAACTAACAGAACTGCCACCTTGATACCAAAATCACACACACACACATACTTACACACACAGAGAAACCCACTATGAAAATGTAGTCTTCCCTCAATTCATTGCAACCCCGTGTATAATGGGATGAGAATATTGTGGTCTATCAAGTTTTCATGAGGTTGCTTGCTGATTTTCAGTAGTTAGGCAGGCCTTTCTTCCTAGAGTATCTTAGTATGAAAACTCCACTAAAGCCTGTTCAGAACCATAGTAGCACACAGGCTTCTCCAGATGGATGGGGCATAGCTGTACTTGAAGTGCATTACTCAGGGATAAATGCCAAGATTATTAACAAGAGATAACATGAATCAAGGCAACCACTCCCTTTACCTTATTCTCTCTAGCACCTCAGTCTTCGTAGACAATGCTTTTGAAGACCAAATATAGGATTTAAAATAGAGAAACTTTGAGGTAAAGCTGGTAAAGTTAAGCTTATATAAAAATTGGTAGAAAGAGAAAAAGAAAAAGAATATTGTATTGAAATCTAGGAAGAAAGAAAAAGGACCAGCCTAAGAAAAGAACTAGGCTGGGAAAAAGAACTTATATCAATAGAATATAAGGAGGGAAAGAGAATAACGAAAAATTATTTTCATATCACAGGAGAATAAAGTAGGACAAAGATAGGTGAATTAGGAACATATAATGAGTCTGGACCCAATAGAAGAGGTCAACAATTAAAAAAAAAAAAACCCAAACATTTTAGAGGTCTGTTGGTACAACATAATCCACAAAGAAAATGTTCTGTGTCCTGGTTGGGTGTAGAGACAAGTATATTAAAATTTGGTAAAAAATGGTAATCTAAGATGCACAGTAGGAGCTCCTGGACAGAGTGAGAGAAATATATGGAACAAAAGTACAAATTTTAAAATAATAATTTTTTAAAACCTGCAGGCTTACTGGTCTGATAGAAGCTGGCAGAATCCATTGGCCTGGAACTGAACTCACCCCATGGCGCAACTTCTCAGCCAAATGATACGTGGGAACACCACCAGCAGGAAGGTACGCTTTCCTTAGAGCCAGACGGGCAGCATTTGCCCAGGGATAAAGCTGAGAAGGCAGAAAGGGGTAGGAATGGAAACAGGGAGACACTGGAAAGAGTACTGTCTTTGGGGAATGCAATCCGTTTCACAAATTAAAATGTATATGAATTATTGAAAGCAAAAAACTGCTTTGTGAAATTTCATCCAAATCACGATCAAAACTAAAAATAAATAAATAGACGGATCTTGTAGAAACACATCAGTACTTAGCACCTGAAAACTGAGTCAGGCTATCTGCATCATAATGAGAACTAGACTAGTAGATAGAGCTTCCACCTTGAAATTATATTTAGACTGCATCTTAATTTAAATTACATTTAAACTGCACCTGAAATTAAATTTAGTTACACATCCAAATGAACTGAATGTATAGTGCCACTGGCTGTTAAATTTTTGCTGTCATTGTTGTTGGCTTTTTTTAGCAATATAATTAGCCACCTGATTTTTTTCACTTTGTAATTGTTGGGAATTTATTATAAATACATTTGTTACAAATAAACATGCTGTTGGACTGTTCAAGTTTAAACCAGGCATTTAAAAAGTCTCAAAAGGTGTCTTTCCGGCTGCCATTTTTCTAATACTTCTATTGTTGACTGATAATCCTCTTTCTGATTGACAAATTCTTTCTTTAGCTATTTTAATACCTTCCTTCAGACTACAGTTAAGCCGTGCTGGCCTCATATGCTAGTGGCTTTGCACACGTCTATCCTGATGCATTATGTGTTGATTTAGACTTTAGCTCTCTGTTGTATCCCATGTACCGACTGCACTTAATCCTCTGTCAAAAAAGATTTAGCAGTGATCTGGAGTGAACATTGCTCTGGATCTGGAGAAGCCTGCGCACACGCCTTTTCCTCCCGATGTTATATTACTTCCTTTTTCCATTTAATCCTTACACTGTTACCTAGCTAAACTAGTCACCACGGCCTTTAGAAGTTTCTTCTTTTCTTCGTGAAAGGTTTGTAATGGACTTGGCACATATATATCTGTGAGGCCCATTCGGGTCTGCTAGAACATTTGCTTCTTTGTATATAATCCAGCAGAGAGCCAGTGTCTGCACAAGAGTCATTACACGAAAAATTAACTGTTTACCATCTGCGGTTTTTTTTTCATTCAAACTGAAAATAGGTTCTTTTTTTCCCCTTTTCTTTTTGAGCCCTACAGTATAAGACATATTAAAAAATACATTCATGTCACTGAACAGAAAAAAAGGTCAGGTATTTTTAATTTGTGACTATAGACACAACTGCCTGACTTGTCATCCTAAGATCAAATGGCAACAGTGTCATAAGGTGAAGGGGCCCTGCGGTTGGAGTGGATAAGTGTCGGCCTGAAATCCGAATGGTCAGCCACTGGGGATCACCAGCGGCTCCGCAGGGAGCAGACTGGGCTTTTCTACGCTGCTGAACGCTTGTCTCAGAAATCCACTGAGGGTCGCTGTGAGTCAGCAATGACTCATGGCCGCGAGTTGGTTTGGGTTTAATCATAATGTGAATTATGAAATTTCCATATTTCAACAATTGTAAGTTTTAAATGGGTACAGTGGATGTATGTATTTCTCTTCTAATGGAACAAACATTCCCACATGAACTTGCATTACACGTTATTTTTCTTCTGGCTGAAAAAGCAGTGATTTATTCGTAGTTTAGGTATGTTCAAATAGAATTTAGTCATTAGTACCTCCAAGTGTTTTTCATAGTGTCAATTTGTAAACCTGGTGTTTATGTAGTTTAAGGCATAAAAAGAAAAATTGCAACGACAACTCAAATAGGGTATGTCAAAATCTGTTTATAATATGAGAAGAAATTATGATAAAAACTGCTTTAAATTTTTAAATGATCCATAGCAGACTCAATTTTAACAAAGGGTGCTATTTTTGTGTTTTTAAAATTTGTACCATATGTTAGCTTTTCTTCCAACAATGGGGTTTCTCTCCTAACCCAAATATCTATTCTTTGTCATCGCATGGCTCTGCTCGCCTCCTTTCTGGGCAGAGCTTTCTGTATTTGAAATAAAGTACAACCTATGCTGTTTAATTCTCATATGCTAATGATTTATTTGATCATAAAATTTTATAAACTAGTTGATCTTATTAGGAAGTATAGAGCTGAAGTTGTTGAAGTCTTGATATCACTATGTGTATAACTGAAAATTTAAAATTGATCTTTCAGTTTTTGACAACTGACTTAATACACTAAAGACATTTATCCTTACATTTTCACTTTTCATTACCTTTTAAACTGATTATAAAGAACTAGGGAATGTCAACCATTATGTCTGTACCCTATTTAAATTACATATTTAAATAATTAATCTTTCAAAGGATGAACAAACATAAGCTTATCAGAAAAATTAGGAGAAAAGTAATCATTCTGTCAAAGAATATTTGACAAGCAGTTATTCTGTTAAAGGAACAGAATGTACAAAGGCATAGAGGCATGAGATAGTATTGCCTATGTAATCAGTGTGAGAGTGAGAAGAATTAGATACCAGCTCAGGAATGAATTTATATGCCTTGCTAAAAACTATGGCTTCATCTGGTAGCTAATCGGAAGCCATTAGAGTATTTTATGCAGAGAGATATGCAATCAGACTTCATTTTAGAAAAATCCCTTGAGGAAAACCTGCAAGCTGGGTTGAAGGTAGAGAACACTTGAAGGAAAAACGATTCCATTAAGATGCGGTTGCTACAGTTAGAGCAAGAGAATTGAACCAAGGCTGTCAAAATGAAAAGGAAGGATACATTTGTGAAATCTTACTGATAAAGATTAACTTTCGAGATGTAGTATATAAGTTTAGAGGTTGACGGAAAGAAAAGAAGGAGTTAGTGTGTCTGTTATGACTCAGATCGGAAGATGTCTACATGGTGGTGGTCTTGAGTAGGAAGCGCAGGGAAAGGAGGGAGGAATCTACTGTATATTATAGATTCTAAGGTGCATTCTTTTCCTTTACATTTTAACATCACTGAAATTGGGGTGTGTCTTATGCTCAGCGGGATCTTGCCATTATAGTTGGCATCTTTTTTGTTCTTCAATAATTTATAAAGTGATGGTGCATTTTACAACCAATGACAGACTGAGCAAAGAAGTTTGCTATGGGATGTTAGGCATCCCTCCAACAGATACTATCTTTCAATGTGACCTAATCTGGAAATAGCATTTTTGCAGCTATAATAAATTTACATTAGGTCATGATGGAAAAAGATGGGACCTAATCCATTAGGGTTGATATCCTTTTAAAAACAGAAAAAGAGACACAAAAAAGACACAAGTAGAAGATGACCATATGAAGAAGGAGGCAAAGATTGGAGTGGTACATAGTGAAGCCAAGAAGCACCAAGGATTGCTGGCCAGAGCCAGAAGCCAAGGCATCCAGCCTCCACATCCCGAGCCAATACGTTTTTGTGGTTCTGAGACATCCAGTGTGTAGTAGTTGTTATGGTAGTCTGATGGAACCAATACACAAAGTAATGAGTTTTCTCTGATATCTTGAATTTGAGCTTTCTGGGGGACATGACTAGCTCTAGTTCATGGGATGTCTGGGTAAGAAACTTAAGAAAACGCAGCAGATATTCCCAGTATGAAAATAGGGTTGTGGGAGTCATTTACTGAAGCAATGGCAACAGACGAATCTCCCAGGGGAAGGAAGATGGTAGAGTGAGATTAACATTCCATGGTTTAGACGTCCTGAAGAGCAGCAGATTTTAAAGCAGGAGCCAAAGGAGCACAGTAACCAGAAAACATCACAAAAACAAATGTCACGAAGATTTCTAAGTTATATTTGGAATGAAAATTGTAAAAATAGTGAGTTGTTGTTAATGTCAACTACAGTGAAAGGACCAGTAAGTATTCACTAAATGTGTTAACATGAAGGACATTAATGACTTTTCCAAAACACTGTCAGTAGAGTGATGAGGGAAAAGACAAGTGAATTGATGAATTAATGAGATAGGAGAGGTATTGGATGTGAGCTGTTCTCTCAAGAACCTTTATTAGGGAGAGATGAAATGAGAAAATAAACTAAGAGGGGATAGGTTCAAGGGTGGTGTTGCTTGAATGGTTGAGATTTAGTTTTGCATGTGGAGTAAATAATAAAGGACTAGACCACAGTTAGCCCATTAAGTTAAGTTTGATTATCAGAGCTTGTTGACAATTAGAACTCTGGGGCGGAGGGATGTTGTAATCAGGTAAGAAATAAATTACTCCATTAGCTTAGATTCAGGCTGAAAACAGAGAAAACAACTCAAGAGTGTTTAATGGCTAGACTATTTACAAAAGTATGAGGAGAATAAAAGGAATATGAATCCTGAGTGGGCCTAGGTTGAAACAACTCATTGCCTTCAAAGGCATTCCAACTCTTAGTTACTGTACATAGACCAATTTCACTATAATATTTGATATGTATGCTGAGCATGAAAAGCTAGACTATAAGAAGAATGTGGCATCAGGGTTGGAGGAAGACTCATTAACAACTTGTAGCCTTGCTTGCTGAAAGACAAGAGAACTTAAAGCATTTGTTGATGAAGACGCTAAAACTCCAAAGATCACACTTTGACATAAAGAAAGCACATCCACCCATGGGGCCAATAAGCAAAGTCATGATCAATGGTGGAAATATTTAACTGATTAAAGATTTTGTGTTTGTTTATTTATCCATCATCAGTGCCCTTTGGAAGCAGCAGTCAAAAAATCAAACTATGTATTGTACTGGGAAAATCTGCTGCAAAAGACATTTGAAGTCTTAAGAAGCCAAGAAGTCACTTTGAGGATCAGGGTTTGTGTGACCTAAGTCTTGGTATTTTCAATGGGCTCATATGCAAGGGAAAGCCGAACCATGAATAAGGAAGCCCAAAGAAGAACTGATGACTGATTCAAGGTGTTGGCAAATAATACAGACATACAGGCTTTTGCTTTGCTTTATTGTGTTTCACAGATACTGCCTTTTTTGTTTTTACAAATT